GTTGAAATTTTGAGGGGATGCTCCCCGTCCACATAAGTCTCAATGAGCTCAAAACCAGCCCTCGGATATGCGTGGTACGGCCCACCAAAATTTTTTTCGGGTAGGCCGCTAGCTCCAGAATTTGAAAAGCTAGAAGACTGTAATTTAACGAGCCTATTCCCCGTCCATCTAAGTCTTATTGAGCTCATGCCCAGACTCCCGGTATGCGTGGAACCCACGTACAGGCCCGCCAAGTTTTTTTCGGGTAAGTCGCTAACAGGAGAATTTGAAAAGCCAGAAGACCCCGATCACCTAATTCTCATTGAGCTGAAACCCAGACTCCCGGCAGACATGATACTCATGTATGGGTCAACTAAATTTTTTTTGGGTAAGTCGCTAACTCAAGAATTTAAAAAGCCAGAAGACTGTAAATTTAAGAGGATATTCCCTGTCTACCTCAGTTTCACTTAGTTCAAACTCAGCCCCGGTGTATGCGTGGCACCCACGTAGGGGCCCGTCAAAGTTTTTTTTGGATAAGCTGCTAACTGAGGAACATAAGAAGCTAGAAGACAGCAATTTTGAAGGGATGTTTCCTAACAGTCCTGGCGGCCAGTCTGAAATTTTTTTTGGCTAGAAGCATCTGCCGGAAAAAACAGTACCGTTAGCGACAAAAATTTGCAGGGAGCTATGCAAAAAACGCATCTTCGCACGGACAGCCCGTGCGTTGGCCAATTATTTGTTACTGAATTGAAACGAAAACCACTCTCCGTGTATTAAATAGCCTGGTACAGGACCGCCTGACGTAGCTTCTCTCCACCTACAGCTGCATCTAGAAACGTCAAAGCAGAAAAACAATCCAACAGATGAAGAGCTCTATGTTGCATTTTGACTAACACGTGAAGATGCGAATCAGAATGAAGCAGTTAATTCAGTTTTGACATAAGCGCAAAAATAGCATTAAAGTAGGCAGCAGTAGCAACAGCAGCAGCAAATATTTCGAAGACGTTCAGTTTCTGGCAAAATTCAACGAATTATTCAAACCGCTATTTGCGACTGCCCCTTCGATAACTGCGGCGCCGGATTCTGTGGATGTGCCCGGCTGCATACTGTGTTCCAACGATGATTCGGCCGAATGATGACGTTTGCAAATATTCGGTGATTGATAATGCGTCGATTTAATTTTATACCTATAAATAGAACAATGACTTCCGAAAAAAACTCAAAAAATAGCAATTTTAGTTCAGAATGACAATTATAATTATGATAACTAAGGACGGTTATCAGGAATACTAAGACCGCCTGGGCAATCAGTGTTAGGATCACATGTTAGTGATATTATTGGGATTTTCCGGCATGCCGAACGCAGCGATGCCAAGTTTTTCGATCCTAGGTTGCATATCACCAGTTAGTACCCACTGCTTGTTCGATGTACTTCTTCCGTAGTTCTTCAGAGTTTACTTATTCTTACTGTGCAGCAAAACACTTTTCGACTTTTCCCAACTACAGCGAAGCACCAACTGAGTCGAAAGGCGAAAGCTTCGAGGTTTGCGACCTCCTGATAAATTCGATGCTGATTTCACAACTGTCATCACTTCTTCAAAGCATGTTTGAGCGGTCGATTACTTTGAATTTATTTCATTTCCTTTAGCTTAACTGCAAATTTTTCGGAAAATCCAAAACAGACCTCTGCATGATCAACTTGGTGGTCGCATCGTTGTTTGCTTTTGTACTGGCTGCGTCTGCAGCATTCGCATCCGAAACATCGTCGTAATTACATTGTATCGAGTCTTTAGAACAAAGATGCACTAAGTCGCTCCTCGAACTGCTCTTTATCGATGAGTCTTCGATCCCCGATCTTTCATAATCACGATCCGACTGAGCACCTACACAAATTGCTTTCGTCGGCTGTTGAACCTTATTCACAAAAATCTGAAACAATAATCATGGAATATGCTCGGATTCAGAGAAAATGAGCGAGTATAAAACCATGACTACAGTTAAATAATCGGCCAACAAGCTACTGCACAAAGAGGGCATTTTCTTCGATTAAGTACTGTAGGTCACTCTTTTCCTCGAAAATCGACTGTTACATAGCATACACCTGCCTTATTCTCAATTTAAAGGCAATCAGATGCGGTTTGCTCAACAGCAAGTACAGTTTTAGAGATGTCGAAAAAATCCAGAAAGAAACAAAAACGAGAATTTCGGAATGCAAAATTTAACTGAGACAGATGTAAACATTAAGAAAAGAATCACGGAACCAAAGCGCATCATTCATGAGCAGCTGAACAGGGCTCTTATGTTCCAGACCTGGACACCACAAGTTCGCACTTTCCACCTATCTGATAAGTGTGCGCCACCTCTTTGGAGATTTCCCAGTGGTCATTTTGGTTCTCGCGATTGCCACTCAACAGGTGGTGATGTCCATTCGTTGCTGACAAAGCGAACAACTTGCCCTACCCATCGGATTTTATTTCTCGCGCAGCTGCAGTGATATCCTGTGCTGAGCCGGTTCCCTTAAACCAAAAAGGCTCCGCACAAAGATTTGAGGAGATCGGTTTTTAGTGTCAATAAGGCTGTTGGCTGCTGATGGCACCACTTTACTAGCTTCTGGTTCAGTAACAGAGTTAGAAATTAAAAAACCACTGCACTAATGTTATTAGTGCTTTAACTGCAACGTATCTACAAAACATCTTCTGGTCGGAGTAAGATATCACATCGCGGTCTTTGGATTAGAAAAAATTCGCGAATGATAGAGTAATGCTTAATATATGTCAGTGACATCTCGAAACGGCTAGAGTGTTTCTGCTGTTGGGAGAACCGCTAAGTTGAATATCCCTTCAAACGAATGTCAGGTTCGCCAGCAGGCTGACCACCAACAATGCAGCACTCATTTCGATTATTATTATCATTCCCATTATTAATATTGTCATTGTCGTTGTTGTCATTGCTATTATTATTAAAAA